AGACATTCATTTCCATGATTAAAGTAGGTTGATCCGAGCTGATTTGGTTGAGTTACGCTCACACAAGATTACATCGGTTGAGCTACATCGAGCGTGCTTTATGTCCAGAGTGATGTAATCTCTCTTTGACCGCAGCTCAGTCAAATCAGCTCGGATCAACCTACTTTAATCATGGAAATGAATGTCTAGAGCAGGGGCATCGTTCCCATGCAGTGGATCTCGCAACAATGATGAATGGATAAAAGTGGCCGTTAGCTAGCAATACATGCATGTTCCTAGATGATCCATAAAGTAATTATACATTGACCCTTTCATTCATGCAAACGTAGCTGTGTTACACAACACGACCCTCTGCATCTTTTGCTCTGCCAGGGTCCAGCTACTTGACAATGAACAAAGACCACTTGTCATATAGCATCCCGCTTACAGCATATGCAAAACATAAAGTCACTTGTATCTCTAAACTTTACAATGAAGCGTGGGGTTTTTATTAGAGCAATGTGCTCGGTGTGGCCAACAGCACCTTGTGTGAAAGTTTCACGTTCAATGTCGCAACTAGCCCAAAAAATATTTTTTGGTCGTCGTCGTCGAAGAGGTCGACTCGTTTCACTTTGGCTGGTGGCGACATTGCGAAATCTGGGATTGGCAAGCTTGATCGTGAAACTGGCACCCAAGGTGCAGTTGGCCACACCGAGCACATTGCTCTAATAAAAATCCCACGCTTCATTGTAAAGTTTAGAGATACAAGTGACTTTATGTTTTGCATATGCTGTAAGCGGGATGCTATATGACAAGTGGTCTTCGCTCATTGCCAAGTACTCAACCGCAATAGACTCGGAGATGCGGATGGACTTCTTTGTGTAACATAGGCAAAAAGTCAGAAGCTATTCATCAATGGATGATACTTATGCGCTCATTAATAGTTCATGCTTCATGAATTGGCATCTAATCGCCCATTCCTCCCATTCACCTTTGTTGCCCAAAACAATGCATGTGAACGATTGTGATGCTCCAACCCATCATGCCCATCCTTCAACTTCCTTGATCCGAGCTGATTTGACTGAACAATGCTCAAACAAAGAAACATCATCCAACTTCAAAAAGAATCAGTTGATTAGTTATTCGTAAGCTGCCACTTGATATTCCATTCCTCCCAATCACCCTTTTTACCCAATCCAATGCATGTGAATGGTTGTCCTGTTCCAGTCCAACATTCCCATCATTCAACTTTCTTGATCCCAGAGGGGTTGACTGTGCAACGCTTTAACAAAGAAACGTCATCCAAGCATCAGAAAAATCTATTTAATTTCAAGGTCTTCCACTCCCTGTTTCTTGCCTCTTTCTCCCATTCTCACTGTTGGTGCATTCAAGCACAACTACCACCTGCGAACGATTGTCCTGCTTCAACCCATCACGTCTATCCT